TTTTTTTGAAAATATTGGTTTTGTATTCAAATTAAAGAGTGATTCCCCATATCTTAACGCTAGAGGCAAAATCTCTTAGGTTATACAACGGTTGACACTTATTTCAAGGGAGCATTCACTCCTCAATGGATAAGGTCATCTTACTAGCAATGCAAGAGTACGAACCACACATTTCTAAACAAGGATCAATCATCTCAAGATAAAAATGTGATCAACAATCATTCAAGGGAGAATTCTTTCCTCAATAAATGATGTCTAAAACAAAATAATATATCAAGTCAAATGTGCTATTATTATACTCCAAATCAAAATGGGTTACAATAATTGTATTATCTCATTTTACATGAGACTCCTAGCTAAATTTTGACAAAATTTCACGAGCTTGAAGATCTTCCAAGGAAGCTTTATTCCAGGACTTGAGTTGATCTCTTCATTTACTTCGTGCACATGAATCTTCAAGCTTTCTACTTGTTTTTGGACAGCTTCAGTCATGTCTCCACACGTCTTTATCCACTCTTTCACCTTCTCACGATGGTGTTTTGCAATTAAATGTAACCCATTGACATCAGATTTTAGCTGGTCCTGCTCTAATGTTAAATCGTCAATTCTTCTCAACAATTGTTCTTCATTTTGACTAGCCATCTTGAGTGACTCAGAGTATTCTATAGCCACATTCCACCATTTCTCTACCTCTTGGTGTGCATCTGTTAGCTCCTCTTGCATGCGTTCTATTTTTTGTTCTTTCTCACGATCACCTATTTCTGAACGCTCTTTTTCTTTTTGGATTTTTGCCATCTCATTTTTTACTTTTTCAATCTCTCTTTCCATATTTTTCAAAAGGGTTTCTGACTCTTTTTCTGCCATTCTCTTTACTTTTTTCACATGGGTTGAATTTTCATAAGCATCAGCACATTCATTTTTTAGGTGTTCAATTTCCATGTCCTTCTTCTGACATTGCCTCTTAAGAATCTCTATTTCAGTTTGAGCACGTTCTTCTTTTTCTTCCATCAACCTCATTTGAGCTTTCATGACTTCTAACTGAGAGGTTAAAGAAGCCAATGCTTGGTTAGTTTCATGAGATTGACTCTCTTTATGTTGGACTTCTTTGAGAATCGGGATGGAAATTCTTCTGGCCTTCCTCCATTCTTTATATTCTGAAGAGGCTGTCACACGAGGTTTTCCAAGCTCTGCTTCCCCTTTCTTTTTGATCTTCCCCCAAGCAGCTCTAACTTCTGCCTGTTGTCTCATATTATCTGGAGCATATTGAAAGCTCAAACCTCCTAACTCTTTGCTCTGAGGCACAAATTGAGTCCATTTGAGTTGTCTAAGAGCAATTGTTGGGGTGTATGCTACACATCCTCTCGACCCCATTAATGGAACATTCAAGAAATCTCCACAACTAAAAATTGTATTTCTAGGATGGAACCAAGGACATACCCATGTAAAATGCTCTTCTTTTAATGTCAAAAGATCTCCTTTCCACTCTGATGCTTCTAATTTCTTCACTGGAATACGATGGAAGCTTCTTAGAGGATCTGGCATATATCCCATATGATTGGAAGCATATAAATGGGTCATGATCCAAACATATAATAAATGATTACAACATCGTAGCATTCCTCTTTTCTTTTGATGGCATACTTCCAGAGAGAGGAGACTATCGGCAAGAATGGCTGGAACAGGATTCTTTTTTTGTGTTTCGTAAGCGAAGAACACATCCATAGCTGCTTGATCGATTAAGCCCATTGTGAATGGGAACAAAACTAACCCATAAATAAGTAGAGCTAGAGTCTTGTTGAAATGTTCCCAATCACCTTTCTCGGCTAGAGATATCATATGATCCTCTAGAAGATCTTTATTCCATCCTTGAGTCGCGCCTTTGCTCACCAATTCTGTTTGTTGTGATGACAAGCCAATTAAACTAGCAATTTTCCCTCTTGATACATAGTTCCCTTTATATAGATAAACATCAACTTCTTCTTTGAGAGGTAACCTTAGTATTATCTCATATTCTTCAATTGTGGGAACCAAATCCATATGAGGCAACTCAAAGAACCTAAAATCTGAATTCCAATAGCAAATCCAGAATCTATCCATATTTCTTTTGAAAGTTCGCATGAACCTTCTTACTCATTTTCTGGCAGATCTTACCTACCCTTTGGAGATCATTTTTTAGCACATTTATCCTGATACTCTTACTTAACCCTGATGCATTGCTAGTATGATTTTGAATCTCCTCCATATTGAATACTATCAATTATTTTAAGGTTTAAAAGAAAAAAAAATGAGATGAAGACTTAAATTAAATGAAAAGAAGAAGAAAAAAAATGAGACAAAGACTTAATTAAAATGTGACTTACTATGCTCCTAATATGCATGTATGCATGACTTTTTATCATTCATCCTTTTAAAAACAAAATTATTTTAGGCAAGAAAAACA